GTTGATCTTCCAATCAAAGTTGTTCCAACATGTAAGAAGAAATAGCAACCTGTTTTCAAAGTCACAACAGCTTGTATTTCAAAATAATTTGTGCACACTTCATAGCACTTCTTACAAATATAGGGATGAGAATGTACAGGAGTTACTCCTTTGTTTTAAAGCACTGATGCTCTTAAAATACAAATATGCTATCTGAGGGACAATATTAAACATCCATAGCAAAGTTAACACTTTATGTGGGTTTGGGGCACTAAAAGGGAAAGCAGCACCAGGTGGGCCACCAGGCAAGGTTCAGACCTCCAGACAGATTCACGCAGGTGGCAGGCCTCGAATTAGAATTTTTTCAAGACCTTTATAGTACCTGAAGTAGGTGAAATTCTACGGTGGGCCTAAGAGTCCCCGTTCCTGGTGTACCCACACCTTCTCCCAGTTATTCGATCGAACACTATTCTAGGGATATAATTAAGGTCGAAAATCAGCTGACCTTAAAATAGGGAGATTATTCAGGTGGGCCTCACCTAATCACACGAGACCTGAGGCTAGAGGTCAAACACAGGTGAAGTCGGAGGTGTTAAGCACAAGGAAGGATGTGGCATTGAGAAGTTCTCAGTTGCTAGCTTTGCAGATGGGGGAGCCAAGAGGCAAGGAGTACACGTGGCCTCTAGGTGCCAAGGGTAGCCTGGGGCTGACAGCCAGCCGGGAAGCAAGGACTCAGTCCTACAGCTGCAAGAACCAAGCTCAGCCAACAAACGGAAGGAACTTGGAAGTGGGTCCTTTCCCACAGCCTGCACTTCTGACCTCCAGAACTGTGAGCTAATCTAATGGGTGTTGTTTCAGCTACTAAGTTCGTGGTAATTTGTCAGGTAGCAATAGGAAACCAATATAGTATCCTACCCCAGTCACAGTGAAAAATTAACCTAGCTGCTTCAGCATCCCACTGCTCGATGAAATAAGGCAAATTAGGTAAGACGGTTCACTTGCAAAGCAGAAATCACAAAGTGAGCTCTGTGCAAATTGGAGGGGGGAGAGTTCTAGTGAAGAGAACCCAAGAGGAGCTGCTACTTGCCTCTGTGAGCTGTTGTCGCAGTTGTTCCTCAGTGAGACCCAGTGACCTCATCCCTCGGGCCCTACAGGCAGCCTGTAGTTCTGACACACTCAAAGTCTTCACCCCTTCTTTGGCAATTACCTGAAAGAAATGGAAGAAACAGTGTTGGATCTTTTGATTCCAACTTTACCTAATCCCTACATTCCAGCGAATCAGTGGAAACACAGAATCAGAGGCCTTGACACTCTGTCCCCTGCACGGACTGCTACAAAGGTGGCCTAGGAAGGTACCAGTCGGCATAAAGGGAACCCTGCCAACAGGTATTAACAATATCAGAGACGCCTGCATAACTCTTCCCCAGTGTTCTGTCACCAAAGTAATTCTTTCCCCTCTTGATTTGCATTTTGCCTGGTTCTGACATCTCTACTCCTTTTCCCTTCCATGGCAGCTTTAAGGTTCATTAGAAAAAAAGAGTTGGCCGGGCGTGATGGCTCACGCCTGTAATCCTAGCACTCTGGGAGGCCGAGGCGGGCGGATTGTTTGAGCTCAGGAGTTCGAAACCAGCCTGAGCAAGAGCGAGACCCCGTCTCTACTAAAAATAGAAAGAAATTAATCAGACAACTAAAAATATATAGAAAAAATTAGCCGGGCATGGCGGCGCATGCCTGTAGTCCCAGCTACCCGGGAGGAGTTTGAAGTTGCTGTGAGCTAGGATGACGCCACGGCACTCTAGCCCGGGCAACACAGTGAGACTCTGTCTCAAAAAAAAAAAGAAAAGAAAAAAGTACTTCACTTGAAAAGCTTTCAATGTGCCATTTGTTGCCTGTCCCAGTGTGTTCTGCTCTCACTCCTCCCCACCGCCCCAGGAATGGCCCTAAGTCTCTGGTCCACAAAACTCTCTCAATAAACAATGCAGCTTTTGCTATGTTATTTGGTGTGACCCAAAACTATGGTCCTTCTGGGACCAGTATTGTTTATTCCAAAGTTCTGAAAGCAACAGCTGAAATCTAGATGAGGCTGGTGGGATCTCACTCTCCGTTCGGGGAAACCTGCTCCCTCAGGCAGAATGCTTTAAAGTAGCTGATTCAGATTCAAGAAACATTCTTTCCATTTTTTTTTTTAAGGAGCCTAATGAGCAGTTATAGTCCAATGGTGCCTTTCTTCTGCAAGGCGTCCAGGCTCTGCTTTTCCTCCCAGCGTCAGGCTTTGCACCCCTTCTTGCCAGGCGACTCACTCTGCAGAATATTGACTTTGGCACCCGCTCCTCAGTAGGGCAGCAGAGGTGTGGGGAGAGATTTGTCAGGATGCACTGAGCCGCTATTTCCTTCCCAGCAGGTCCTAAGTGCTTTAGCTTAGTCCCAGCTAAGTCATCCAAATTACTAACATTTTATGTTGGCCTTCTCAAGAAAATGGGTCAGGGTATGACAGACAACGCCTAAAATGAGCGATCAAGGTTCAAGTTGCCATAATGGTTGTTTAAACCACTCATTTTCCCAGAACTGGTCCATGACCAGACCCAACAGAAAACTCCCCAGCACAGAGGCACCCGAAGGCATCCCCCACTACCTCGCCAGTTCCCTCCAGCTCTGGTTAAGCTCTTACTTCATCATCTGCTTTTATAGACTTCAGTTTCATCAGAAGCTGAAAGCGGAGCAGATTGTTGGTTCCAAAGGTCTGCAGTTCTAGCAGTTTGCAAAGGGCAACCAGCTGAGGACGATCTAAGTGCTCCAGGGCTAGCTGGTCCTCAAACAGTTTGGAAAAGCGAACTATCTCTTTCGTGCTGGGCTTGTGGCCTGTCTGGACCTAGGCAGTGGGACAAAGAGTTTAATTAAAATGTGTTTCCTACTTAATTTAGCCCTCCTAATAGACTACTTGAAAGAGACATTTCAAGTAGCATTTATAGACTCTGTCTAATGCCTGGAAATGGTCCCTGTGGTACAAAGGAGAGGGAAGAAACCTGTCTGAAGTCAAGCCAAATCAACTGAAAAATCAGGAGTAGTTCAAAAGTTTGACTCTAAAATCTGTTCTTTTCAAGAAGTTATCAGCCTCTTTAACGCACCAATTAAGATAGGCGTTTCTGCAAACTACTATAAATGTTTGCAAGATTGTATATTTGTAAATCAGATATTTGAAATTTCAAAGATTGAAGACTTGGAAGACCCATAAGGACACGCATGTTTCAGATAACTCGCAGCCCCGAAGTCTGGCATCGTATCAAAGACTGACACCTGTTTTACGTAGGACGAGAGCTGCGTAGAGGCATCTCCCAGCTTGGCTCTGTTCCTCCTGGCCATTTCAGTAATTGTTTCTTGAAGAAACTTTGCCATTTCCAACTTTGCAGCCATTTTCTTTTTCTGTTTTTCTTCCTTAATAGTAGAGGAGTAAAAAGTTAATTAATCCTTCAGGATTGTAAACTGGTAGATGAAGGAGGGAGAAAAAAAACCTGTCACCTTGTCATTGCTCATCTCTGTACCATGTATTAATATCGTGTCCAGGCCTGACCGAATGGGTTTGTGAGAACCAGAGCAAATAAAAAGCTCCTGTGTTCAGAACTTGTCTCCTTAATCTTACCTTTAATTTCTCACTAATGCAATGATCATGAGCATTTGATAGATCCAAGACATCCCCTCAACGGTAGGCTTTGTAACGATTTAGAATGAGATACCATCTCTTAACCTGGAACAGACCATGTAGGCGGCTGGTTGAGCCAATCCCTTGTCTGAGTGGCTCTGGATTTTGCTTTGCAAACAATGAAAACTAGGAAATGAACTCTATGCTTTAAATAGAAACTAGATAAAATCAATTATAATACAAGGAGTCAAGTAGTCTAACAAATATGCACTACCCAGAAGAGCATTAAATGTACACTCTTAAGATACTATGTTGACCAGTATTTCTTAATCCTCGTTCATCATCAGAAATGTAGTATGGTAGTATTTTCAAAATAACCATGGTCAGTCAGGACTCAGGGGGTGGAAAAGAACAGGAATCTCTCTCTACATATATTTTTAAGTTGCCCAGGAAATTCTAATGATCGGCCAATCATAAGAATTGTTGATTTTTAGAGAGATCTTAAAAGACTCAGCCAAAATACCCCCAAAAAACCAAAATCACACAATGACAATACCATGGTTAGAACCCATTTAATCATCCATTTCATCCATCCCTATCCTAACATCCATCTATCCATTTATTTATTATCTACCATGTACTAGGTGCTGGGGATAAAATGAGCAAAGACAGATAAGAATTCCTACCCTCCCGGAACTTCTAGTCTAGTGGGAGAGACAAACATTAGTGGCTAACGACAATGCAGTTTTTCCACAAATTACTGTAAAAGTATAATGTGTAAGTGCTATGAAAGAGAAACGCACGGCACTCTGCTCTGATCTGATGTAAACAGAAGGCTCCCCCAGCCCCCTCTCTCCATGAACGAAAGCAACCTAGAAAGTATTTTCTAAGACTGTGGCTATGATGTGTGTATACATATAAGTATGTTTGGGAGGATCAGTGGTGTTCAGGAAAGAGGTAATAGTTAGATAAATCACTTCCTCTATTCTTTCATCTTTCTGTATTCACTAACACTTCCCTGAGAATGCTGTGGTATTAATTCTAGATCCTGATTACTTTACATGTAAGTAAATTAAACCACTGCCAGGCAATTAAATATTGTAATTTGATTTTACCCTTTAAATGTATCCCACATCTCTCTTCATGTCTTTATTTCCATTGTCGATTTCATCACTTGGGCTCCATCACCTCTCCCTTGGCCACTGCAGTAGCATGCCAGCTGATTTCCCTTCCTTGGCTCTGCCCTCTTTTGTCCTTCCTGCCAGCAAGATTATTTTTCTAAAGCAGAGACTAATTACGTCATCCACACCTGTTTAAAATGTTACCTTCCGTTATTCACCATGGGCAAAGGTAAAGTCTAAATTCCTTAGGCACATATATGTTTTCCATCCTTGACCCCAACAGTCACCTTTGTCTGTTTCCTGCCATTTCCCCTGGGTCTCCCTGTTCCAACCACAAAGAACCAACCAGTGATCTCGGACTATGTCGTACTCTTATATTGCTGAGCCATTATAAATGCTATTCTTTCTATCCAGAATGCCTTCCACAGACTGTGGTAAAACTCCACTCACTCCCTAAGTCTCAGTTTCAAACTTATCTCTTCTGTGAAACATTTCCCAATCTCTTTGTCCTCTCATAATGTTTTGCTCCTATCTTTTTCATCCCATGCACTGTCTAGTAGAGCGTCACAGAACGGAGACAATGAAGGAGCCACCTCTGTTTTCCGGCCCATCACCTTCAGAGTGACCCCCAAGCTCAATGAGGGCACCCTTTTCTCAGGGGCTACTGAAGGGTCTGTTTGCTGAATAAATCATCCCTACTGTCTAACTAGTCACCACAGTAACAGAAGATTTTTGTTTTCTTTAACAGTTAAAAACAAGTTAAAATTCAGGAGAGAAGGAAGTCTTCTCAACAAATGGAACTAGAAAAACCAGATATCCACATCCAAAATAAAAAAGTAATCTAGACACTGACATTATACTTTTCACAAAAATTCACTCAAAATGGATCATAGATCTACATGTAAAATGCAAAACCATAAAATTTCTAGAGGAAAACGAGAAAAATCTAGGTGATGTTGGGTTTGGCAAATGAGTTTTTAGCTACAACACCAAAAGCATGATCTATAAAAAGAAAAATTGATAAATTGGATATGATTAAAATTAAGAGCATTTGCTCTGTGAAAGACACTGTTAAGGGAATGAAAAGACTAGGAGAAAATACTTACAAAATACATATCTGATAAATGACTTTTATCCAAAATATACAAAGAACTCAAAACAATAAGAAAACAAAGAACCCAATTAAAAGTGGACAAAAGATCTAAACAGACACCTCCCCAAAGAAGATATACAGATGGTTAATGAGCATAGGAAAAGATACTCAACATCGATATGACATTAGGGAACTGCAAATTAAAACAACAAGGAGATACCACTACATACCTATTTGAATAGCCAATGTCCAGAACACTGACAACATCAAATGCTGGGGAAGATGTGGAACAACAGGAACTCTCATTTATTGCTGGGGGAATGCAGAATAGTACAGCCACTTTGGAAGACAGTTTAGCAATTTATTACAAAGCTAAACATAGTCTTATTACACGATTCAGCAATTACGCTCCTAGGTATCTACCCCAGTGAGTAGAAAGCTCACATCCATGCAAAAACCTGTACACAAATGTTTATTGAAGCTTTATTCATAACTGCCCCGAATTGGAAGCAACCGAGGTGTCTTCGATAGGTGAATGGATAGACAAACCGTGGTATATCCATACAACCAGACTATTATTCAGTGATAGAAAGAAATAAGCCATGAAAAGACATGGAAGGATGTTAGATGCACATCGCCAAGTGAAAGAAGCCGATCTGAAAAGGCCACACACTGTATGAGTCCAACCATCTGACATTCTGGAAAAGGCAAAACTATAGACAGTGAAAAGAGCAGTGGTTGCCACAGGTTGGGCAAATAGGTGGAGCACAGAGGATTTTCAGATTAGTGAAACTATTCTGTAGGATAGTGTATGGTGGATACGTGATAAGACGCATTTGCAAAACCCACAGAACTGTAAAACACAGAGAGTGAACCCTAACGTAAGGTATGAGCTTTGATTGATAATTATCAATACTGGTTCTTTCTTTCTGACAAATATACCACACTAATGCGAGATTTTAATTACAAGGGAAATGGGGGGCGGGGGAGAGTGGCATATGGGAACTCTACTTTCTACCCAATTTTTCTGCGAACCTAAAAAACAGCTCTAAAAAATAAAGTTTATTAATTTTTTTAAAAGTTAAAACATCCTACATACCTTTTTGGATTCACTTTCAAAAGTTGATGGCAACATCTCTGGGAAGAGTTTCAGAAACACTGGTAATAAGAATTCCATGAAGGGTACAATTATGAACACCATAAAGGGAACCAGGCGGAAGAAATCGACACAAGTTCTCAACAGCTAAAGAATTAAATGCATATACAATATTCATTATTTTAGGACATGCCAAAAAGAAAAACAAAAAAGCCTGCCTTGGCTTTTAAAGTGTTAAAAACTCAAGACAGGTTTTCTACAGCTATTTATAAAATGAAAAGGCCAGGTTTTCCTGTTTACCATGGCTCTAAAGTAGTATTTATGGTATCTCTTCAAGGAAATCTATGACAATCAAAACATATTATTGAAATTTCTTAGCTTTCATCTAAGTTAGGGGGGTCCATAGTTTAATAATATAGTGTCAGTTAAAATTGGGTTTTAAAATACCTATGCTTAATATATTAATAACACTTCAAACCTGAAGCCTTTTAACTTCTGGGAGAGATTTAAAAACACCATTACACCCATTCTATAGGCAAATATATAAAAATTTTAAGAATGTTGACTAAAGTTGTATAGTAAGTCAGCTGCAGACAAGTAAGAAACTCAGGAAGAAACTCTGGTTCTGGGCTAGGCATGGTGGCTCATGCCTGTAATCCTAGCACTCTGGGAGGCCAAGGTGACAGGATGGCTTGAGGTCAGGAGTTCGAGACCAGCCTCAGCAAGAGCTGAGGCTACTACTGTCTCTACTAAAAATAGAAAAAATTAGCCAGGCATGGTGGCGCATGCCTATAGTCCCAGCTACTCAGGAGGCTGAGGCAGGAGGATCACTTAAGCCCAGGAGTTTGAGGTTGCTGTGAGTTAGGCTGATACCCTGACACTCTAGCCCAAGCAACAGAGCAATACTCTGTCTCAAAAAATAAAAAAAAGGAAACTCTAGGTCTCACCAGCAGTTATTATTCCTACTTTGGGATTTTTTTTTTTTAGAGATGGGGTCTCACTATGTTGCCCAGGCTAGTCTTGAACTTCTGGCCTCAAACAATCCTTGTGACATAGCCTCCTGAAGCACTGGGATTACAGGCACAAGCCACCATGCCTGGCCTGGGGTTTTTAGGATGAAGTTTGAGTTTAAAACTTGGTTCCCAAACAGTTAATTTTAATTTCACATTTTCTTTCTCAAATATGATTCTTGCCTACCCTTCGTCTCTCACGTCTGGTTAGCACCTGTCCGTGCAACAGCCTCCAAACCATTCTGGCAGCAACTTTGGTGTCAATCCAAAGTAAGTAGAATCCATTGTAATAATATTTAAGTTCATCCACAATTTTTTGTCTGTAAGATTGCTTTCCTCCTTTAATCTTTGTGCCAGTTTCTTTTGTAGGCTGAGGGCTCGTCACCCGTGGCTTTTCTGTGGTTTGCTCCAGCTGAGGTTTACTAGGGACCTCTTGTAGCCAGCAAGTTGACGTGTGCAGCTTTTGTATGAGTCTAGTTCGCAAGTGAAGTACTTTACCACCTGACTGACTTGGATAGGAGTACTTCTTGCTTCCATAGTTCTTCATATATGCCTTCTTTAAATGTGAATCTGGCAAGTGAAGAAATGCAAATGATGGGGAAAAAGACGAGCAGGTGGGATGGACAAAACGGCTGGGGAACCTGGAATAAAGAGCAAGTCCGAGTTGAGCGCACACTAGTCAAACTTAAAAGTTAAAGAAAGATCTTTTATCTGGTTAAAATAAAACAATGGGTTTAAAGCGTATATTTTAGGAGCAGCTGATTTCATAAAAGAATGAAATATAACTTTTGACCTCAGTTGAAGAATAGATGCTCTATGGGTCAATGATATACTCTATGTGAAATATTAATAAGTCCTAAGAACTGCTATATTAGAAGTTAGAAGCTCTGTGACTATTAATTTAAATATCTAATAGCAAACATCTTTCCACCAAGGGTTGTGTTTGATAGTGCTGTTTTCTCTATCTACTATCATAAAATAGGTGGAAGCCACTCTGCTGATAACAGGAATACTGTTTTAATGGAACATTTCGGGGTCACCGTGTGGATTAACCAGTCCTACAACACTGCTTTGCCTCTGTAGTGCCTACGGACTCCCTCAAGTGAGAGATACTTATACCTGAAATGCCCTTCACCTAAGACTACTCGAGGACGTTGGGAATAAGAATTAGAATTGGGCACCCAGCCAAGGATCTCTACATTTTCTAGTATTGCAACAGCCCACAATCTTCAGTTAAACTAGCACATCAGATTGTTTGAAAATAAAAATAAGACAGATCCAGGCAAAGAAGGTACTGGAAAAGAGATTTCTTTTGGCAAAGAGATGGCTTTTTCCATTCTTTCAGACAATTTTTGAAGCATGCCAAGATAAAACACTTACTGAATGGCCAAAAGGGAAAATGTACAATGTATCTGGCACATAGTAAGTTCTTACTGAATATCCTTCTGAGTAAAATAAATGATAACAGACCTTAATGGGACAGGAATATGCCCTAGGACTGGCTTGTTCACCAGCCATTTCACTCCTTTACATCTAAGAGCCTCATGTAACATTCATCAGTTACAGAGATGTCACTCGAAAAGCATTACATTTTCTACTTTAACCTGTACCACACATCTACTTTAGAACTCAACCTCAGTTCTAAAGCATATAGAAAATGTTGGTACGTTTAACTACATTAAAATGTCAGCTTCCTAAAAACCAACAAAGTTTTAATTGTGTACTAAGCCAATCCTTTTACACATATCCTTTCCATCTAGAAGAATGAAATTCATATACATATTGGCAGGGAAACTCCAATGCTTACCTTGTTCGAGCAATAGCTAAGACTGAATTATAACTGTAGAAAGCCATATTTATTTTTATCTCAACTAGTCAACATAGGGACCTATGGAAAGGAGCAAGTAAACAGGTTAGTATTTTTAAAACACATCGATTAAAATACATCAGGATTTAAGTGTTTTTATCTATTGCAAGGGTAGAACATTTGCATAGTTAAGGTGCAAAATCTCCCTTCAAGTTCAGTTCCAACACTTGTGAATAATATTTTCATAGCTCTGGATTTGAGAATGGTACTTTGAGATGCCAACAAATGGAAATGATCTCTAAGAGGATATGGTTCTTGAAAATGGTATAGTCCTTCAGAGGCATTTTGATTTCTGGTCATTAGTATCTAGTAACCTAACTTGAATGCTTGCCAAGTACTTAAAAAGCTGAGCAAGACACACATATTTGTAGCCTAAAGATATAGGTAGAAAGCAAATATCCTGGATTTGTTTTCAACTAGGTTTTTTTTTTTTTCATATTTGGCCAAGCTGTACTCCCTAATCTCATTTATGTAGCTGTGAAGACATACAGGGTACCTACTCTACTTATCGCTCAAGTACAGGTAAAACGGTTTCCCTTCCTAGTGATTCTCCAGAGCACAAACTGTTTTTAAATCACCTTCACCAAAACCTTTCCCCATCCTGCGACGCTTTTCAGATAGGGGCAGCATGGAGCAGCAAGGAGCCTTAGTAGCTCACACTCAACTCTGCTCTCCTGCAGCTGGGAAAGGGGTGTCAGGGTCTCTCCTAGACGGAAATGTCGAGCTGACATTTTAAGTCTCTGAACCAGACTGCCGGTGGGCGGTGTCTTGCTGGAGGGAGACACGACCAGAGGCGGCGGTTAATCCCTCTCTGGCCCCGGGCTGCCCACAACGCCCAGGGTCCTGGGTTTACCTTTGCTTGGGACACTTCACGACCCACGGGTGCAAAATGCGCCCTCAGCTTCCTCAGCCAGTGGCTTTCGTGCCTGTGTGTGGGTGGCCTGTCTGCTGTGGTGGGGTCTCGAGGATTTGGGGGTTTTTGGTGTTTTTTTGGGAAGAGGTGCGGGGGTGGGGCAGGCCCGGGAACGACGACCCTCGGTGACGATCGCCGTGGCTGGAAATGAAGACAAGGAGAAGCAGGGTACGGAAGAGAAAGGAGGAAGCGAAGAGCGGAAGGAGGGGAGCGGAGGCTACGATCCAGAGTTTGAGGGCTCTGGTCGGGGACGAGGTCAAGGGCCGAGGGGCGCGGTGGGCGCTGGTGGGAGGAGCAGGATGCGGCGGGCGCGGGCTCCGGAAGAGACAAGGCAGGCACAGCCCACCACCTCACAGCCCGGGCCTGGGCCCGGGCCCGGGCCCGCCCACCCTACCTCCTTGGCCCGGCTCCCGGGAACGGCCTCCTGGGTCCTCCCCGTTTCTTCCCAAGTCCTTCCCCGGCCCCCCAAGCTAGAGGGGCCCGGAGCCAAGTCTCTATGGCTCCACCTCGCCCTCACCCCTACGTCACTCTGAGTGACGACATCACCAGCCAATGAGCTTTCACATTCTGGGGAGGGCGGGCGTCCTTCACCTTCTCAGCCCAGGAAGCCGCAAAGTCGCGTCCCCGTCGGCGAGATGACTTCTTCGTTGGGTTTCATTTAAGGAGCGTCGGTGCTGTGAGGCCCAAGATTGATGTTTTCCTGCCAGTCCACAGTCTGTAGGCTGTGGCTAACCCCTGAGGAAACCCTTGAATGAAGGCTGGATTAAAGAGGCTCTTACGCTACTGATAGCGTAATTTGTCCGACAGTCGCCATGGTAACCATCTTGGAGTCACGAATGACATCACTTTGCTGTATTCTCCCTCCGCCTGCCGGCCTCCACTCCGAAACTGCCTGGGGGGAATAGAGGGGAGGTTGAAGGGGGTAGGAGAAAGAGCGGGAATCGGAAGGAAAACACCCCTTTTCCTCCCCTTCCAGGGCCCAAGGCTGTAATGCTGTGAAATCTTTATACGGCAATCCGAATTCCACTAAAGAAATCTGCTGTATAAATTTGCTTAACAGATGTTGTTTATGATCAGTAGTTTGTGTAGAAGTCTTAACATTTAAAATGTATATTATGGTAGCTGTGAAATGATGTAGGCACTGACGGTTTGTGGGACACTTCAATTCCTAGGATGGACAACTGAGCCATCTTGGGAAAGTGAAAGATCTAGAAATATTCTTGTTCCCCAGTTATCTCTTCCCATCCATTTTATCTGGCTCCTGTAAAAATTTTAGTGGCGCTACTCTAAGACCAGACAGCAAGGAATCGCTTTCGCACGGAGAATACTTCTCCTAACATGTGACCTGACCACAAGCTTTACTCATCTGGGCTGCACATTTCTAAGAATGAAAGATGGCGCGCATTAAATTTCAGTAAAAAATGCAGACTGCTTTTAATTCGCAAAACATTTTTCAGCTAATAACCAAATGGATCAATTATATTAAATAGGCAAAACTTTTCAGTTTGGCCACTAGAGGTCCCTTTGTGCACGTCTCATGTTCAACTGTCCACGTAAAGGTTTCACTCCACGTCCTATGTTTACTAGAATTAAAATCTACAAAGTTTTGGTCTCTTTACCTTTCCCTCCCTGAAAATTCTTGATATTAAATTTGCGCTCTAAAATGTAGATATAGCTTTCACATTAATATTATAAATTAATCACTGCACTACCCATGTACACGTACTTTTCTGGAAAAGATTATAAAGGGTGCAAAAACATTCTCAGTTCCCTGGGAGACATTTTATACCAGGAAATATTTTTATTCATGCATTGTATTCACTTAAAACCAGGCACAGTAAAAATCATTAATTATTCATAAACCAGATGAATGAGTCTATGCCCAGCATTTGAAAGATGAGCTATGTTTTCTACCACTGCCATATGTCGGCAATCCATTCTAAAAAGGGAAGGGTTAAAAACCCTTCTTATTGCAACCCATTTGTTCAAAGCAATGTCTACCTTCTCTTGGTATGAGGCTTGGCGATTTCTTTTACTTTCAGGGTAAGTGATTTGTCACGTAGGGAGTTTCTGTGTGTAATCTTCAGAAGAGAAACCAGAAAAGTTTTTCCCCCCTTAACTCTGGCCCGGAGAATTGTGTTAGATTGCTGACTTAATGAACTGCTTGCTCATTTTCTATGGAAAAGAATAAACATGTTCTGAACCTCAAAAGATGTCAAGATGCTGAAAATGTAAAGTATTATTTTTAATGGCCATTTTCTAAATATGGCTCCAGATCAAATATTACTAACTGAATTTTCTAATGTTTTGCAACAAGAGACTATGCATCTACTTCACATAATTTCAATTTTAAGGTCTTATCAGCATGGCTATTAGAAGCAGGCTGAAATAAAATCCCTGGGGACAATTTACCAGCTTCTCCTCAAGGGGAAAATCCAGGTGCGGGGTCAAGGAAGTTTATCAACAAAACAAGGAGGATACAGGAGGGGTAAAGAAGGATGGAGGTAGAGAAAAAAAAAAGACGAACCCATCTTTCCAGTAGATAGAATAGAACTAGGCTCAGGTGGCCCTCTTTGGCCATCTGTTTTTAGAAGACATGTTTATCATAAATAAAAAATGTGCTTTTACTGATTGTTTCAATTTGTGTTGCTACACAAAGCATAAGTTTAAAAATATTGAATGATTAACAGTAAAGAGAACTCATAATTGTCAGTATCGTCCTTAGTATTATTAACAGGATTATGCCAAAAAAGCGAATTCATAATTAGTACCCATTAAAATAACTGATCTTTTAGGACTCTTTTCTTGTTTAAGTGGTATTTAAAAATTACGTTGTAAGGCACTTCTTTTAATGGAACCAAATAGATCCTGCATATAACGTCTTTAGAGAGTATGACGTCTACCAGTGATAGGGCTTTATTATTCTCAGAATGGAGAGCACAGGCCTGGTTTCCTCATCTGATTGCTGCCTGTGCTGCCTCTGTATGTTGCCGATTCTGCGGGGCCACGTTCTAAGTCTTCATCAACAGGTCTGCACACCGCTCCGTGACTAGTTCACTGTGTCACGCAGCTAGGACCTGCCATTGTTTTACATAAACTTCCTAGGATGGGGTTGGGCTAGGGGATCACAGAGAACTGCCGCCCTCTTCCTCCCCTCGCTCTTGCCTGAGCCGCCTAGGACTCGTGCCCGCGTCCCGCGATGCGCAGGTCCGGCGGGGAGCGGCGGCGGACCCGGCACGTGACTGGCACGGAGCCGCCCGGGCCGGCGGCCGGGATGCGGGCGGCGCTGACGTCGTCGTCACCCACAAGCCTCCGCGCTGAGAGCCGGAAGGGGCGTGCGGGGCCGGCGGCCGCTGGGAGGTCGGGGTGCCTCCTGGACCCGACCGCGGCGCCGCCGGCTTTCTGCTGGCAACCGGGGTCTCCGCACGACCCTCACACCGCGGCCGAAAAGGGGGCTATCCCCCAGGCTTGAGTCTTAAATCGCCGCCGCGGTTCCGGATGCGGGCCCTTGTGGAGGGCACGTCTCTGACAGCTGTCGGACGGCGCCGGAGTGGCTCCGCTCGTGCGGGTCTCCCGCACCGGGACCCGCCTGCAGCCTCTTTATAACGCCCGGCGTGGCAGCGCGGTGTCGCTCTGAGGACCCCCAGTGGCGCTCAGGGCCTGCTGTTACCGAATAAGTACCAAAGACCACGCACGAGCGCGGGCTGAGCGCGCAAGCCCCTCTCCCCCGTCTCCCCGCCTCCTGGTTCTGCGGTCCTACCCTCCTGCGCACCATCCCTCCGGCCTCGGCCTCGGCCGCGCGCCCTCGGCCGCCCCTCCTCTGCGCCCCGCGGACGGGCTTCCTCCTCCGGCCCCCCGCGCCCCAACCCGGACTGCATTTCCCGGCAGGCGCCGCGGCGCACGGCCAATGAGGGCCCGAGGATTTGGCGGCGGCGGCGCCCCGAGAGTCGGGGTGGGGGGGCTTTGTGCGCGGCGGCGGCGGGCGCGGGCGGCGGCGGCCAGCGCGGAGGCGGAGGCCGAGGGGACCGTGCACAGGTCGCCGCGGAGAGGCGTGCGGATTCCAAGCCGAGCCCCGAGGACCCCGCCGCCCCAGTCCAGCCGTCAGCAGCCGGCTCCCCTCCGGCAGCGGCGGCTGCGCGGCGACCCCCGCTCCCCCGCTTCCCTTCCCACCCCATCTCCCGCAGCCTTCCTCTGCCCCGCAGCACGCCCGGCCCGGCCCGGCCGCGGCCCTCCTCGGTGCCGGCCGCCATGGCAGAGGCGTCCGGCGCGGGGAAAATCTAGCCGGGGGATTTCATGCGGCCTAGCTTGGTTCCGTCCGCTCCCCCCGCGGCCCCGGCGGCTGCCCGCGCCCCAGCCCCACTCCGGGCCTCCGTGTGTCTCCTGTGATCGTACTGACACGGCCGGGGGGTTAGAATGGAACAAACTGAAGGTAAAGTGCGTGAGCGTGTGTGTATGCATGTGTGTATGTGTAACGCAAGGAAGGGCTGAGGGGGAACGACGGAGAGGGGGCGACCTCTGATGGGGCACGGGGAGACCCCCGCAGGAAGGAGAAGCGGGTGGCCTGAGAGGGTTCGGGGGAGTCTTGAAGGAGGAGCAGATGGCAAGGTGGGGGGTGTGGAGGGAATTGGGGGGTGGGGCAGGGGAGGTAGGATGGGCGTAAGAGATGGAGTGGCGCTGAGCTGGGAATTGGGAGTAGAGGTGGGATGGGGGCGGGGATAGAGACGGGAACGGGGGAGGGGCAGCGAAAGAGGAGAAGAGTTAGATTTGGAGAAGATTAGGGACCTGGGTGGACTGAGAAATAGGTTTGGGGTGGAGTGGGGGAACCAGAGTCTGGGGGAAGGGAGTAGAATTTGATGGAGGAATGGGGCACCTTGTGGGAATCAAGGGAGAAATGAGGGAATGGAAGTGGAGGAAAAGGGATGAGAAATGATTGAGGCAGGACGCAATAGGAGGATAGGAAACAGACGCAGGAAACCGGGAGACGTAGGATTGGGTTAGGGAAGGAAATTAACTGAATGTTGGTAGGGATGAGAACGAGCCGACTTAGCATCACAGAGTGGGAGGAAAAGAAGGGGATGGGGGTTGTTAAAGTGTTAGGAAGGAAGCCTTTTGTTCCTATATTTGTGTGTATTCTGTGCCTTTTCTTTCAAGACTAGAGAATAGAGAAGCTAGTGGTTATGGGATTGTGATTGTTGTGAAATGGGGAGGTGTGGGTTTTACTGTTTTGAGGGAGGAGGAGATGTGTTTGTGTTATGGTTGGGAGACAGGGAGAGACATGGCCATAATTTGATGGTTTTGGTGAGGGAGTGAAGACTGTTCAGATTTAAAGGGGGCAGGGGCAGCCATGTTTGCTGCCAGGCGCTGCAGTGTAAATAAATCCCTTTTCCTCTCCGACATCAGCATGAACCTGGAAGGGGCTGGTTCAGATTGTCAACCCCCTTTTTTTCTAATCATGAGCTCTTTTCCCCTTGCATCTTGGGTCATTTAAAATTATTCATAACCACCAAAGAAGATAGTGATGTTTTCCATCCTGTGTGTTTTGCTGCTTTTCTCCCTCTCTTTCCCCTCTTCCTTCTGGTTGCAAACAAGGCATGCTGATGAACTGCAGTGTAAATTTAACCCTTCTAGTATATGTAAAACTAGATTATTACTAGCTGAAGGAATTATTACTACTGTACTATTTCAAACATCATCATGAAAAGTCATTTACATATTGAAAATTCATTTGTTTCAGAAGTCCCAAAGCAGTCAACATGTTTTCTGCAATTCTTTAAGTAAACAAGGAAATTGCATCGGTTATTTTACTTGGGCCTGTGCTCTTGGCAAAGCACTGTGTGGGGGTGAGAAGGGGTAGGAAGATCTGCTTGTGGTAGCTTATCTGCTTGCTGTATTTTGAATGTTGAAAAAATTAGAAATGTGTGTATTTTAAAATAATGTTTCTGATAGCTCTTGCTTTATAGGTGATGGGTGTGTTAAGAATAGTGTTTTCTTTTTTCATAAACTCTTCCCCATCCCGTCCCTTTGCTTTCATGTAGCTAGCTCAATACAATCTCCAAATGCCAGTTCCCCACAGTGCAATGATCTATGAAGGAGGCATGCAATTCTTAGAGCCTCATTGAGGTGCCAGGGTTGTTTGTTTTGGTTTTTTGTGGAAGTTCAGGTCACTCTCAGGAAAGCTGCTGTAACTCTTCAGTGTATTCAAATGTAACTACTTGTGCAATTTGAAATGGTTACTATTTTAAAGGTTTACATTCTGACAAACTTAGATAAATTGGGATTTAGTGGAGCCTCTTTTATTTTCATATTGAAAAAGGTAAATTTGTGTGACCTTTTGTCTCGTAATTGGGGTAACTCAAACTGTAATACATCACATTGATATTGAAACCATTCTCCAATACCAAGAAGACCTGTTAAAATTGTAATATGGTAGACTCCAGCCAGTTGTACTACATATTGATTTGATCTACCTTAATGTCAACATTCTCTCAGTTGTTATATAGAAGCTTAGGGTGTGTTCTTGGTTTGTTAGGAAAATTAAATTGAATATTGTTAGAGTGATACTTTATGAGAATGTGTTTACTATAAAAGCCAGATTTACAACTTGGAGTATTTTGATTTGATAATATTTAGCCTCAATTTTTTTTTTAATTCTGTGAGGAAAAGTTCCATTTAAAAAAGCCATTCATCATGCTTTTTTGGAATTTATTTTTATGGAGATTTCACTTTTATATCTCCCACTTGATTGACATGTTATTTGTAATTAATTGGCAAATTATGTGCACAACTATCAGTACCAAAAAGAGGAAAATGAGCAATCATTGTATATTAAAAAATATTTTAAAAGTTGGAAGTTTGAATGGCTTTAAAAAATGTATTTTTATGTATTCAGCGTTCTGTAAAGATTAGAGTCCCCTACCCAGCCATCATAAGTATTCTGGTTCCTTGGACAGGTATCCATATAATGAAGAAGGTTGCTCTCGTTAGGTGACACTTAAAACCCAAACTTTGCTCTGATTACTGTGTTCATCAGCCCACCTGTTACCTGTGATAGCTTTTTTTTTAACCTTAAATTAACAGGTGCCCTCTCTTATACTGATCAGATTGCATGAGTTTTGGATAAAGGAAATTGATCATCTGTGAGATTGGTGATCATTGCATGAACTGTCAAATCTGATTCAAAGACAGCTGTTTTTGGAGTTTATAGTAATATTCATAATAATGCCAGTAATAGCTGCTAACACTTGTCCTCTCACAATACGCTATGCTAAATGCCTTACATGCATGATTTCCTTCTATCCTCTTGACAGTTTTAGGAAATTAATACTTTCAACTCCTTTTTACAGATGGGGAAACTGAGGTTAAGTAACTTAATAACATCACATGGATGGTAAATAACAAAGCCAGTATTTGAGCCCAGATCTTGTCTAATTATAGAACCTTTACTTTTAGTTTCCTTTCTCTTTCTGTCTTTTGTCTTTCTCTGTTTTCTTTTTCTTTTTTTTTTTCTTTTGGAGACAGGAGGGTCTTGCTATGTCTCCCAGGCTGGAACGCCTGGGCTCAAGTGATCCTCATGCTTCAGCCTCCTGAGTAGCTAGAACTACAGGTATGCACCACCTCACCTAATTTTTTCATTTTTATTTTTTATAGAGACAGGGTCTCGTTCAATACGTGGCCCAGGCTAGTCCTGAACTCCTGGCTTCAAGCGATTCTTTCACCTTGGCCTCCCAAAGTGCTAAGATTATAGGTGTGAGCTGCCACACCCAGCTTACTTTTAGTTTCTTTTTAAAAATTATAAAAGTAATACATGTTCATTATTTTTAAAGTTTTCAAATATTACAGGAGGCTAAGACATTTAAAAAAAAAGTTAGCCTTCTTCATGCCTCACTGATAACCACTTTGAAGTTTCTTGTGTGTCCTTCTAGAAAATTTCTGTGCATATCTATGTATATCTCTCTTAAAATACCAGTGGAGTCATACTATCTGCATTTTGCTTTTTAGTTTTAACAGGATATCTGCGACATCGTTTTAAAGTAGTACACATATGGATCCACAGCTTTTTTTGGAAAGGGTCATGTAGTATTACATTGTTTGGAATGTTGATTAACATTTAGGTTGTTAACAGGTTTTTGCTATTATAAGTAATATAGTTAATCCGAAATTCAGTTCCTAGCAGCCTGTTTAAATGGAAGAGAGACAGCCCAACTACTGTATTTTATAAGAGAGAAAACTGAGGCCTTTAGAAGTTAAGTCCAAGGTTTTGGTTACAAACCTGTTACTTGGCTCTTTATTCTACATCATATTCTTCCTTTCTGTGCAAGTATTTCAGCTGTCTATGAAAGCTCAAGGTGAGGCACATTTAGTATAATGAGTTGGAGGGAGGTAGGTTAAGTTGCACTGAGGCAGGGATCTTGCTTGTCTTTCTTCATATTTTGTTCACCATGTTGTACCTATAGCGCATGCACAAAATATTTTAACATGCAAAAATGAATTGTGTCCAAGTTATCTTCAAGTTTGTGTTTTTGTAATGAAGTGGTGTTTGGTGGGATTTTTCATCTTTTAATAAACTTCTCAATGAAATAGGATAGCAAAGAAATGAAAAAAAAAAAATCAGAGGTTTATCACGGTCCTGGAAAGAAAATTGAGACATTGGTAAATTTTAAAAAGTGAGCTAAAAATACCTAATTGAAAACAAGTTCAAAAAAATCTTAGCAGGCATTGTTGACTACTCTGTGTAAACATTTTTTTCTTTTTTTGTCTATCAAGAAGAAAATGGGTTACCATGGATACTTATTCATTGGGTTCCTTTAAAAGAAAAAGACAGTCTTATGTGTTGTAGACACTTAAGACGTTAAAATCATTAAAGTTTTAAAAAGATTTAGAATTTAGTATCTACTCATAAAATCTGTTTCTCAATACAATGCTGTTTTTAGTTTTACTTAAAAAAAAGCAGTCTATTATTTTTTTGAAAGAGCAACTAAGATGATTTATTCCTTTGTTAATAAACACTCCCAACATTTGAGTTTTAAAAGAATGGTGAGCTTTATTTCTGCAGGCTAATCTTTTTATAAACAGTAATAAGGGTAAATTTAAGAAATTGATTATACTATGATTTCCTAACATTTTTTAAAAGCTTACAATTTTTTTTATTTTTACTGTTGACCTTAGTATGTAATATGTACTTCAAACATTTCTGTAGTATGTTGTACCTGCATAGTGTGGCATGAAAAGAAGGTGAAAGGTATATTTTAAATTTTTTGAATTTGGAGGATGTTCAGTTTTTACTAAATGGATGTGTGTTGTTACTCCTAAAGTACATCTGCTTATTGACAAGATTTTGAATTCGAAGAAGCTCTTTGAAAAAGTATTCTTATTTTTAAATTTTAGATGTGGGTCTTTTTTGTCATTAACTGGTCTACAGTGATAACTCCT